GTGAAAATGTAATCTTTAATGTGAAAGTGTAATCTTTAATGTGAAAATGTAATCTTTAATGTGAAAGTGTAATCTTTAATGTAAAAATGTCATCTTTAATGTAAAAATGTTTTCTTTAATGTAAAAATGTAATCTTTAATGTGAAAATGTAATCTTTAATGTGGAAATGTTATCTTTAATGTGACAATGTAATCTTTCAAAATTTTAAATGATCTTCAGTGTGAATATTTGAATTTATTATGAAATCTAGAGCTCAGGAGACATTATTGTTTTGTTAATATGTAGTTTTTGTATAAAAGCTAATATGTATTGATATATTTTTTTCAAGGAGAAATTAAATTATTATTTTGTATCAACTTAAGATAATATGGTCAAAGGTACTGGTACAGAGTTTGCCTCAATTTAAAGTTATATATCTGAAATCTAACTAAGTGGTAAGCTTTGCACTTTAAAAAGTCTCGTTTATGATATTCAACTGATAATACCGGCTGCGTTCGGTGTAACAGTTGTGAACCTGTGGAACTGTGAGATGCCCGTGGGAGAAAGTTGTAAGTGCTTCACATGAATCGAAATGCAGATGTAACATGTGCCAGGGTTCTGTATAAATATAAAAACCACCTGATACCTACAGAGAATTCAGTTGCTTTGTGACGAAAGCGATTATGGCACGTCTTACATCCCCGACAACGTACTCAAGTAATTGCCAATGCTTTTAACTGTCGTGACAGAGCCATTGAAAGACTTCGGATTCGTTACAACAACACCACAAACAACACTAATGGTTGTGCACAAAGTTGTCGCCAAAAAATGTTTACTGTACGGTGTACCGCAGGGATGCGTATTTGGCCCTGTTTTATTTAGCATGTGCACCACTCCACTCTGCAAGATAGTTCACAGGCATCTCTTTTAAACCCTCTGTAAATAATAGTTGTAAATCCAAGATTGAATGTTGCATTGAAGATATTCGATTTTGAATGAATAATACTTTGCTTAAACTGAACGATGATAAAACAGAAAATATTTTTCTTGGATCAAATAATCTTGTATCGAAAGTAAACCAAAATGTATCTTTATCTGTGTGACTCATGTTATATCCCCAGTTCTATCTGCTAGAAATATTGGGGAGTTATATTCGATTACCCTTTGACCTTGGAACCTCATGTAAATAATGTTTGTAAATTGTGTTATTTTAACCTTGATTTTAATCTTGATTCTAAATTCTTATCAACATTATCAATTCAAATTGACATTTGTTAACAAAAATCATAATTTGTACTGAAAATGAACATTCTTCGATAAACATTCGGTTTTCCAATGATTATTGAATTAATAGAATTTTTGCCAAAAATATACTTAATTACAAATCTAGCTCAACATAATATCTTCAAATGCAAAACGTCAAACACAAAACTCTACCAACAAATGTTCAAATACAAATGTTCAATAACAACTCTCGCTCAACATATTAATGGTTTATCGACTTTGAATCCTACCAATAGAGTTAAATACCATGATCTTACAACAGGATAAGGTCAATTCTTATGGGCAGTTGAGCGTTAAAGAATACGCGAACCTTCGATACGCATGCGTGTTATTTATTATACATCCGGTTGTCTCTGAATAATAAGTCCTACTTACTTGTATTTTAGTCAAATATGGGTTGAATATTCCACTATTTGCTGGAATAACAATTGAAGCCTATTAATACAAGATGCCAGGGGGAAGGAGAATACTATCACGTATTCAATCTGCTAATTCATACACATCTTCTATACATAAATCATCTGGAAGTGGAAGGTTTGAAATGCTCAGACACCTGTCAAATCCCTTGCTTGACTTGAAGTTTGAACCCTGAAAATGAAACACATCTGTCAAATTTCAAATCTACACACTGTCACTGTTCTAACGTATAAGCATTGGCATTTTTCTACATCTAGTTAGATCAAATGTTCTGGGATTGTCAGAATATTACTTTTTTCCCTTTGAAATAACAAATGAAATAGCCACCTCAGCTTTTGTTTCCTCTTATTCTTATTTATAATTATAGACAGACTTCTACAATGTAGCTAGTCAAATACTATTAATGAATGCTAACGCTAGAATGACCTTGCATTATGTATTGTTGTTTATATTTTTAGCAACACAAAGGCATTCTAAGACCAACAGTGCTATTTAGAAGCAGATATTCCAATTCTCATGAAAAAGATTGATGAAATTCAATATACCAACGAACTTGCGATGACAGTAGCTATGATTGAGCAAACCACTTAATCCCCAAATACTTAAAATTGCTATTTTTAAAACTGCCCACAACTCGAAATCTTTTGAATTTGCAGACTTTCAAAAAAACTACAAATTTCCATTTAACAAAATTGAAGTGCCCCAAATTTCAGGACTTTTGAACTATGAAAATCTATGAAGCAAAACCAGTGATTATTCTTGTACAGTTGTTAATTGAACGTTATCATGGTTACAGAGGTTTGCTTGTGCAACATTTAAGATACATATATAAAAATTACTTGTCTCTTTCAGTCATGCAGAAGAAAGAGATCCAAATGTTGTTCCATTAGCATCGATGGTGGTTTTACCAAAACATGCACAGCTACCTGAAATACCAGGAGATGGGAATCTATATTTTGAGTCAATGTTATATATTTTTGGCATAATAGTCATGTTTCTTCAGTATATCAACCTTTATAAAACAGTATGGTGGTTACCTCATTCCCACTCTAATTATGCTTTAGTAAGTTTGATTGTCATATTATTCATTACTACTGTACTTATGAAATTATTCAAAGGGAACCTTTATTGCTGCTGTCCTAGCAAAATTTCCCACATTACATGGTCTTGCCCCTTTTCATAAGGTGCAGAACAATAGGACATTAAACTTCATTAATTTCATTTCATTTATAATGAATTACAAATCACTGTGACACAAGAATTTTGGGTCATTCCATGTCAAATCACCCCCAAAAAAGTAAAAAGTAAACCGTACCCCCTTTGATTTTGCTGAAATTTGGTTTATATGTTTATTTTGGCTGAAAAAGCTGATATTCAAAATTTTAGCTTCATCGGACAAACGGTTCCAGAGATATACGGTTTACCTCATTGGGTGATTTGACATGGAATGACCCTCTTCAAAGCATCCTTAAACATGCTTAAACTTCATTAGCTTGTGAATCAAATAGTCGGATTTGTGTAAGTTGTTTTATGATATAGGTAACAATTTTTTTTTCATTGAAATTGTTAAAAACTTTTTATGACAGTGGATGCTAATCACTTCTATCAACTATATTACCAAATATCACAGTTACAAAGTTATGAGTAAATATATATAAAATCTTTGAAGATAAAATGTTAATTTTTATCCCATTACACCATATCGTGATATATACTGTATCGTGACCCTTGTATCGCGAATTGTATCGTATTGTGACATGATTGACCATACCCAGCACTACCGGGTATATCCACATTCACAAATTCCAATTTCAACATTTTTATACGCCCACATCTCTGTGTGTGGACGTATATTGTCGGCACCCCTGTCCGTCAGTCCGTGCGTCAACATTCAACCGATTTTGATGAAACTGTTATAGGACCTAAATTGAAAGATTTGAGAAAGTTTAGTTTACTTCTGATTAGATTTAAGGCTTTAGGCCTCTTACGTCAGTTTTGAGGAGTTATCGCCCTTTAACCTCTATTAATTGCAATCAATTGCTCGTAAACACTCTAAAAACTAGATTTTTTGATGAAATCAAATGAAATTCGGTATGTGTATACATATTCATAACGCGAAGACCAAGTTCGAATTTGAGCTATTTTCGACCGTTAGAAGTTATTGCCCTTGCCCCAAAATCTTGAATATTTACCATCCGCATGCCATGGTGGGCGTATATAGCTGTGGTCCACTATCTTTATATTTCTATCACTTTTTGTTGCAGAATTTCTACCTTATTGATCCGAACTTAGTATCTTTCCTGGCTATTATAATGTGTAGAAGAGTTGTTGCATGTTTTTTACAAGAGGTATGTATGTTTGGAAAAGCATTGAGAGGCCTGTGACCAGTGAATTCTAGGGCTGCAACGATTAACCGTTGAATCGATGAACCGCGATTGGTTCTTTCTTATCGATGCATTGCGAAAGAAAAAAATAATCGCGATACATCGGCCCGATTCTCATAAATATAATAAACTCCCTTTAATGACTTATAGCACTGAATCCATGGTATTTTAGAAATTGTGTCATGTTCAAATGTTAAAAAGTTGCTTTCACGTATTAATTTGTCTTGAGCATTTTTAATTTTTGTTCCAAACGATAAAAAGAGAACATATTAATATGCCAAGTGGAAGATAAACGCATGGGATCTGATAAAAACGTTTTCTTTTTCCAACGTAATATGTGATTGCATAGTCATGAAATAATTCCAATTAAGATATTTGCCAATGGTTTGGTATTTTATTTATTTTTTTGAAGAAATTTGTTAGTCCTTGTGTGTAACAAATGATAAAAAGTAAATTTTGTACTTCTATGCGTGCCAAAATAATATAAACTGTGTTAAAATGTTATTTATTATCAGTTTTCTTTTTCATTCCCTTTTAATCAAAGAATCGCGATTTATTATCGCAATAAATCGTATCGTTAAACGAGTATGGTTCAGTGTATCGGATCACCACTTTAGGAATTGTTGCAGCCCTAGTGAATTCCATATAGCTGTGTGTCTATATATATCGTAATAGCTAAATGCTTAAGACTTGAATCCATTTTATAATCTTTTCTTGTATGTATGTATGTGCTACAGACTGTACACTTTAAAGATCTCTTGACAGTAAGAGTAAACTAATGCTGCTGTCCTGGCAAATTTTCCATCATTGCACAATGCTAGGCAAATTCTATCGTGCAGATATATTGCTGTTGCCCCTGTCATTCCGTCGTTCCACAATTAACTTGTCACGATAGAGACCACAGTTTTTGACTGATTTGGTCATTTGAAATTTGATGTGTAGTTTTAATATCGTCATGATCTTAAATAAGTTTGAAACTTGGGAGCATTCTATTTTTTTGTCAGAATTATATTGTAGGATTATATTCACATGATCTTGAACAAGTTCAATGTTGGGTCTGATAAGACAAATATTGATAGAATAATGAAAATAGGTAAAAAACTGTATTTGGTGCATATTAAAAATAGAAAATGAAACTGAATATTAAGTAGTTTCAACCTTTGACAGTTTTGATCAAATTTGGTGTGTAGGATTATATTCACAAATTAATGTACAAATTTGGGTATGATTTGACAAGTATGAAATTCAACACTTGATATACTGAAATTATGTTAAATGTTCCTTGCAAACATGATAAAGAGGCCACAGTTTTGTCAGTATTTGTCAGAAAATTTGTGTAGATTGTATTCCTTATTTGGATATGATTCGAAAAATATTGACCAGAGTTTACACTAGGGTTGGGCAATATACTGGTAATACCCAAATATCACCATATCGTGATATATTTATTTGTCAAATGTAAGTCCAGATAAGATCATCTACACAAGTGGCTTATGAGGCAACAGTTTTTATACGCCCACACGTCCGTCCACATTTGTTGTATGCACGATAGAGGCTACAGTTTTTACCTGATATTGATGAAATTTGGTATGCATGTATATATTGATGAGATCTGGGTTAAGTTTGAAATTGGTAATAATCGAATGAATTGTTTCACATATTAAACCATTACAGACTTTGTTATCATTTCTGACAGCTGGTAGTGGGCATATGTTACCTTGCCTGGCAAGCTATCTTTGTCCAAATATTATAAAACTTGGTTTGTAGGTTTATATCCACATGATCTTTGAGAAGTTGGTTCTTTGGATATGATTCGACACAAAAGGCTTTACAGCCCTTAAAGGGCCTATCGTACCTTAGTCTCAGAAACGTGACCTTTTTTGTTCAGCTTATCAGTAATAGTGCTCACAGCTCACCTTCAAAATTTGAGCCTTCAAATCCATATGTGTCCAGAATTAACTGCGTTTGAAAGTTAAAAAGATGAGTCATCTTTTCTTGAGAAACTGCCATATAAAGAAAGGACAACTCAAGAAAAAGGAAAAGTAATTCCTAGTTTGAGATGTTTTTGAAGGAATTATGCATACATTTCTTGTGCTTCTGAAGACTATTTACATATTTTCAAGACTCAAACCAACCACTGAAAATGGCACATTTGTCCCTTTCATTTGCTGGAATTTATTGAGCTACTGGGCATGTCAGCTTGGCAAACGACTATTTTGTTTTTGATGATTCTACAAACTTCATACTTTTTCCATGATTGTGATAAATCATCTCCCTGGCAGAGAGGGGAAATAATAAATTTTTTTTTGTTTTTTATTTCAGACATTTGTAGTGAAGAACAAAGGAATTTTATATTGGATATCCATGTTTTTAAAATGTGTTATTGTTTTATGTATACTAGCTCTATTTTTATACACCGGTTATCAAGTAGTGACTAAATATTCCCCTTTATATTGTTTATTTTTAACTTGTCCGTAAGTATAAATCTGTATGATTAACCAATTCTTCTCTAAACAGACTCGTTCGGGTGGGACAATAAACCACGGCTTCGTGTGCTACAGACTGTGCACGTTAAAGATCCCCGACAGTTGGAAATCGAAAAAGAGCAGGCTAATGCAGCTGTCCTGGCAAAATGTCCCTCATTGCACCCTGCATGGCGTTACTTGTCTTCATTAGCCCACATGGTGCAGAAAAGTAGGATGTAAAAGTCCATTCATTTCATCTCTTTAAACAGGCTACATCTCTGATATGAAATTTGCCCTCAGTTGAGTGGACTTTTAGAAAGGTTTCACTGTAGTAGTTGTCAAATTGTATATAGATGTTATTAATAGCGATGTGTCTAGCAGGAAGAGTGCTTGGTATAGTGTGTTCAGAAGAATAAAGCTTATGCAACTTAACTGCAGTTTAACTTAAGCTGGCTTAAAACCTGCTTTGAAATGTTAAAGGGACAGATGCACCATTTTTTTGACCAATCATGACTAAGTCTCAGAACAGGATTTTTATTTTAGATAAGCCAATCAGTAACAGCAGGATTTTTTCTACTGTTTTTGGAATTATTTTTTGGGGGGAGAGTTTTTTTTAATTCTGCACTTATATTCCAATTACTTATTTACAATAAATTCTGTAAACTGTTTTGTATTCTTTATTTCAGTTTAGTAACTTATTTCTTTTTATTTGGACCAAAATTCAAACCATTGTATCACAAATACTATGCCTGGCCACGATATACTACTACTTGTCCAGATAGATATACACCAAAACCTCGTAGTAAAGAGGGGCCCAATAGAGACCCCTTCATATTCCATAGCTGTACACTGACACCAGATATAGTACGTGATGAAGTTGAGGCAATGAAACAAGACTTTAATTCCCGAATGAAACAAGTGCTGTTTAACTCTACTCTGACGGCATTTTACATGTCTTTTGTACCACTTTGCTTTGCCCAGGTAATTATTACTTTTTTTGTTTTTTAACTTATGTTTAAGGTTATTATGTTATTAAATAACTAATATACTAATTTTACCAATCCAGATAAAATTTACTACAAGTGACTTGTTAGAATTGTTTAGAGGATCCTATTTGGACAAAAACTTCACCATATATCATGATAACTACCAATATATATCACGATATGACCATATTTGGGTATTTTGTAATCAGGCGATATTACTAAGAATATTAATTCCTATACCAGTATTTATCGTGGTACCGGTATATTGCCCAGCCCTAACCAGGCCATTGCAATTCAGTCTGCCTTTAGTGCCTTATATATCAATATTGTTTCATTTGTACGGAAGATTTGACTAATTGAAAGTTACAATATTTCAAGCCTCTGCATCATTGAGGATTAAATAACTTCAATTTTATTATGCACCAGGGATTTTAAGAGGTTTTGTAAAATTTTGTATGTGTATGTGTACACTGATAGCATCAATTTGCACCATTCCAATACCATTCAGATGTCTGTGGTTCCTGCGATTACACTAAGTGTTTGATGACGTCACTAATCCTAAAATATGCTTTCTAACATAAGGCCCTTGGTGTTTTGTAACCTCATCAAACACTTATAATTAGTGCAACTGCAAGAACCACATCTGATCGAAAATTGAAATTTTTGTAAATTGATCAGTGTCCCTAATACACATACAAAAATTGATGATACCTCTTTACAATCCCTTTAAGTCATATAAACATTTTCTTTATCAGATGGTAGAGCTCAATATCAGCTATCCATAAAACCCTTGGAATATACGCTTTGTTTAAATGTCAGATTTAACTAAATAAATTAATATTATCTCTTTGAAAAAGTTCAAGAACTAATCAGAGATTTAGCTATGCATGTTGAAAAATTAATGGGATTGTAAAGAGAAGTTGTAAGAAAAAATTATAATCGGGGACATGGATAGCATCAATTTGCACCATTCCAATTTTCAATTAGACATCTGTGGTTCCTGCAATTCCACTTAAACTAAGTGTTTGATCGGAAAATATGCTTATATCATAAAAGACCCTTCACAATTAGTGACGTCACCGAACAGTTAATTTGAGTGGAATTGCAGGAACCACAGACATCTGGGCGAAAGAATGTATGTTATCAGTGTCCCTGATACATATGAAACCTCTTTACAATCCCTTTAAAACTTCTGACAATGATCTCCGATAACTTTTGCGTGGATTTGCTAAGGAAGGTGTTTTGATGTAACTTTCCACAACACAATTATCGCATGTCATGTGCATGATCATATATTGATACTTTGAGAAACTAATTGTATATCTGGTTATGGTGTATATAGATTCTCTATACAGATAATTATTTTTATTTGGACTCTCAGAATATTCAAAATAACTGTGAAAACTGTTGGGTAAGTGGGTACTGTATTTTGTGTCAAATCTGATTTTTTTTATATTTCCCGAAATTTCTGTGTCATTTATTTTACTTTAAGTGTAATCTGTTACAGATATTCCAAGCAATGTCAATTGTGTAGTCAAATGTTTGAATATTAAAGGGGTGGGCCCAGTCTCTATGACAGACCGTTTAAATTAAATTTTTATTTCATTTATGTTTTTATCTATTTCACATTTAAAATCATCCTTAAATAATGATTTATATGAATAGCAAGTATGAGGTCATGGCTTTCCCAGATTAGTACTGGAAATTAGAGAGTGCTAGACTAGTACATCCTGCCTCTACATTTACCTCTTGGTTTCATTAAAGGGATTGTAAAGAGGTTTTCTAATTTTCTTTATGTGTATCGGAGACACTCATAGCATACATTTGCACCATTCCAATTTACGTCTGTGGTGCAATTCCACACAAATTAAGTGTTTGATCACGTCACTAATTGCAAAATATTCTTCATACATAAGGCCTTCGTAATTAGTGATGTCATCAAACACTTAGTTTTTGTGGAATTGCAGGAACCACAGACGTCTGATTAAAAATTGGAATGATGCAAATTGATGAAATCAGTTTCCCTGATACACATAAATTTTTTAGAAAATCTCTTTACAATCCCTTTATAGAAGATCTGTTTTTAGAAATGAATTTCTTTTTTTTAAATTGTCCTTTGTTACGGTTTTTACCATATTTGAAGGAAGAACAAGCATATTCTTTAACTCAAAATTGATTACAATATTTATAAGTGTATTTTTCCCTAATTTTGTGAAGTTGACAAGGAAAAATTTAGGGAAAGGGAGTGTTTTTTTTATAGGCTTTACCTGTGCATGATAATTTCGTTTTTCAAGTTTAGTTTGCATGATTTGATTTTGTCATTTCTTCTTTTAAGTTTAAAGATGGCTCCTCACTTTCTATCTTAAAAAGTATTAATAGTAGATAGTAATTGAAAATGTTGAACCCATCTTTAACCAATATGTTCTCGTTGAACTTGTTTGTGCTATGATGACAAATGTTATTTTAATCTATATTTGTGAGTCTTCATATATTGACAAATGGCACATATGCTATATCAGTATATATGATATTGAAATTGTTATGTGATTTGCTAATTAACTAAAGAAATTAAAATAAAGTTTGTTATGATGAATCACTTTCAAGTTCATTTCTATTTATATGGTTAAAAGGAATCATGATAATACTCATATATTGGGTGGCCCAGAAAAAACAATGATAACATTAGTGACACCATTTTGAAATACCAACCTTTGTCCAAACTCATAATGCTGAAAAATAATTACACCTCTTTGATAGAAATCATGCTCATTATAGCCAGGAGTTTGTAGTGGCCATTCATCTTTTGAACGAAATTTCAATTTTCAGGAAAATGTTGTCCTCATTGAGCATTGGTTTAATGAAAGAGGAAAAATTACTACTCATTATGTTTTTTACAAGGAATTTTAAAAATGCTTGTAACTGTAGTTTGGTGAAAAGATGTCTTATATCCCTATAAATATGATAAATTATAATAATAGCTTTGATACTTTTGGAAAAATCCTAAAATGAAATGTGTTAAAGATGGGTTCCCTTATTTTCACTTACGAAACTGAAAATACTAATACTTATATGAATAGAAAGTAAAGGTGTTTTAATGACTTAGAAAAAAACCAGTTTGTCTCACATGTCCATAATTAATTCATATTAGCTAAATTAGAAGAGAATTACCAGCAGAATTCTAATGAGTGACTGATCGAGAAAAGTTTTTTGTTTTGTTTATCCAGACTGTACATACATTGACATTTATGATTGGTTAAAACTCTTAATTATATGCAATAAGAACATAATGATATGATTAAGAATACATGATAATTCATTAGAAACACCAATGAATCAAATAGTTTGCTTAATTTGACACAAGTAATAAGGAAACCCATCTTTAACGTTTGTTGAAATACATCAAATTAGCAACTATATTTTTTTAGAAATTACCACAATTTCCTTCATAATGAGTAAGTATTCATAGCAATTACTATATCTTTCTTTCAGAATACCTTATATTATGATACTTGGTGGGTAGGACAACATGTCAGCCTTACATGGCTCAGTTCCTTTCTGATGTTAATATGTCACTTCCTGTCACCAAGATATCTAGATCTACTACATAAATGTGCTTTACATCTGGGACGTTGGCAGAAAGTGGAAGGAAGACATGCTCATGTTCCCCACAATGCGTAAGTTTGATTTGAAATTATATAACTTTCATATATGGTACAATGTTGTTAACAGTAAATACTTGAATTAAGGTTCAGAGATCTAGTGGAGATGTAGATGAAATAAATTAAAGTTTTATATCCTGCTTTTCTGCAACTGATTGTGTTAATGGGTAGCACCATGTAGTTTGCAATGTTTGAAATGAGTCTACTCTTTTTTGATTCCAATTGTTAAGGAATCTTAAACATGCACAAGGCCTTGGTTCATTGTTTCGATTAGACAGTTTTTCTGCATAATCCCCTCTGACCTATGTTACTGACAGGGAAACCAGATCATCATATGCAAGAATTATACTTGGGACCAGTTTAACGCCATAGTGAGCCCTTGAAGTATTGGTTAACAAGTGACTTGACAGCTTTAGTCTGTAAATATGTTAGTATGAAACAAATTTAATCAAACTGACTCAGTATACATGGAATGCAGTCTTTTTATGTTAATTTATATATTTAATTAAAGTAAAGGTGCTTAACCCAGTAATTTACAGTGTGTTTAGATCTTCAAGCTCGATTTTTTGTCCGTCCGTCCGTTCATATTTCTTGTAGGCACGATAGAGACTACAGTTTTTATCCGATCTTGATGAAACTTGGTATGCATGTATATATTGATGAGATATCGGTCAAGTTGGAAATTGGTAATGAACATTTTCAGAGTTATTGCCCTTGTGTATACATTGTACAATCAGACATTGTTCATATTTGAATTTGATAACTTGATGAACTGTTTCATGTTTTTGCCTTGACTTTTAGATGATTTTAAGATTATTTGAAAATTTATTATAAAGCCACTAAAGATTTTGTTATCATTCTGACAGCTGGTAGTGGGCGTATGTTACCTTGCCTGGCAAGCTATCTTTTTAGTAGTCTTAACGCAGCAGTTAAGATTAAATTGTCTTAACATGCATCTGCTTTGAAGGTGGTTTAAAACCTGGCTTGAATAGTTAAGTTTGCTTATTTTGGCTGTTTAAATGCATATTCCTTTCTTTATAAAATTATTTTCAGGTGGTCTGAATTACAAGTATGGCCACAAGGAGCTCTAGTAAAACATGTTCGTGGGTTGTTTAAAGCTGAAGGTATTAATGTTACTGCTGAACCAGGCAATAGTTCTCATGGTAGATTTTATGTAAGTTTTTATTAGTGCAGCTTCGAGAATTGAGAAATAATTTTTTTTAAATACTAATCATTAAACCCTTTTAAAAAAGACTGAAATTATGTCTATTTCTACTATGTCTAAGGCTACTATTTCTAGCCTTAATTGATATATCGGATCATAGAAAAATTTGGTTTTAAATTGGCTGGCAGATTCCATTGATTCCAAATACAGTACTTTGTCTACTGATTTTGTGTTTTTTGTGCTAAAATGTTTATGTATACAATAAAAACGGAAATTAGTTTATTTTCAATCAAGTTGTTTGTATGAACCTTGATTCAAAAATAGTCCCTTGCATGATTTGTTTATGTTGAGAAAGTGATTGTAAAGAGGTTTTTAACATTTTGGGAACCAATCCAATATCCAATCAGACGCTGGGGTTCCAGCAATTCCACTAAAAGTAACATTTGACGTTACAAATCACCAAATATACTTATATCAAATAAGGCCTTTTACGATTAGTGACATCATCATACACTTAGTTTTAGCGTTAAGGTGAAATGAGAATTTAACAATTTTTTATGATGGTACTGACTTGTTCTGTGCTATAATAAAGAAAAAGCTGCTTTGGATGAATGTTCTTTTACCCACTGGGTCTATATGAAAATTGAAATTGCAGGAACCACAAAAATTGACATTTTGATGGTGAATATTGATGCTATCAGTGTCTTCGATACACATAAAAGATTTAGAAAATGTCTTTACAATCCCTTTAATATTTTGAAACCAGTCCCCTAAAACTAAAGTTGATAGTTTCAACAATGTAGTACATTTTTCTGTGGGCAGAATTCGCCCTAAAAGACTCAGCTGGTTTTTAATTTACCATTTTCATTTCTTTCAGTTTTTATTCAGTAAACCATTAAGAGTGTTACATTGGTTATTAATAATGACATTTATGTTGGTGATTTATCAGTTCTTCCGCTTACTGCAGTGTACCGAATGGAGTCATATAATGTCTCTAGCTTTAATACTCTTCTGTAACTATTATACCTTGTTTAAATTAATGAGAGACTGGATCATCATGGGGAAATCATATAAAGAAGAAGACAATATGAACTCGAGTAGCTGAATAAGATGAATATTGTGAAGTGCTTATTGAATAAGTCTTTGTACTTAGTTGGATGTAATTTATGGAGATGCTGTTTTTGTTTCCTCTTTTATTGAGGAAATTATTTTCCCTTCCTAAATATTCATTTATCATAAAATGTTTTAGAAATAAATTTGGTAATTTTTTCATTAATTGAAATATGCAGCAATCCAAATACATCCAAAGTCATTTCATAGAAAATAAATTAATTGAAAAATGGAATTAAATCAATATTTTGTGGTATGCTAGGGAAGTGAATATATTATGTAAGCCTACTTATTGATGCCATGAATCATGACTCTGTTTGTTGTATCTTTGTTAAATTGTAATGTGTCCTATATCATGTTCCATGTATTTGAAAATATGTGAGTAATAAATGTGCATTTAAAATGATTGTGTTAATACAATTTGATGTACCGGGTATGGAATATCCCAGACAGTGAGTTAGACGCTTACCTAACTTTAACAGGGTTTCCATGATGCAGGTCAGAAGGGCTGACATGAAATAGCAAAGCAAGGCCTTGTGTGCTACGAACTGCAGGTTAAAGATCAGTTTTGTTCAAGAAAATCCTTAAATCTTGCATACACACAAAATAGCCGACATGTCTCGGAGAGCTGTGGTGGGTTGTCTTCGTTGCTCAGTGCTAAAAACATTCGGTTTGGACCTGGTAAATCCAACTGAGGAATAATTATACAATTATTATTAAGAGGTAATTTTCCTTTAAGATGAGACGGTTTTTTTTTTGTTAATTTCGTGGAAGCGTACAGCCAGAAACCATATTGAATACATTACTGACAGAACATGGAAATGGGAGATAACTTGTAAAGTGCAAAAATTCTCATATATGTTTCTGTGTTTTGGAATAATTAATTAATAGCCAAATGAAATCGAATATTGTTATGTTATGTAACAAGGTTTACCTGTAATAAGAAAATTAGTCGTGGCATGGCACCTTGGCTTTATCCATTTACGTTTCTTGGTAGGTAGGTAGGTTCGAATTTTCTTTGATATTTTTATTGCTGTGTTTAAAGTTGCTTTCAACCAAATGAAATTTATTTTAGTTTTATACACATTGTAAACTCTCATCCTGTTAGTTCATGTTGGAATTTAAGTAGTTTTGAGACCCTTAAATGCAAGGCCAGTCACCGTGGTCTAAAATTAGAATTATTTGACCCCTTAACAGTTCGTTTACGAATATTAGCCTAGTCTGTGTTATCCAGGTACAATTTCATAGAGTTTAACTATCGAGGGAGAATACTCTGCAATTCTGGCCTTGAAAGGTTATACGGTAGGCATGATTTACAATTTCTTATTATGTTTCTTCACCAAAATGATTATTTTAAAATTGATCATCATGGCAGACTTTATTGTGGAAATGGTAAAAAAACAGTTTTAGGGGAAACGCACAAAAATGATGGTAGCCTACGTATAGGTAGGCTATGGCACAATGGGCATTTGTAGTAAAATCTTATAATCAAATAGTGTTTAAAATCATCTTTTATTTCACTGATTATAACTGGATTTATTGTAATGTTATGCTAATATTCATTTGAGAGAATCGATACAAATTATGATCAAAATTGAAATAATACAAATTAATTGTTAGACCAAGTTCAAGAGTTCAATATGCTGATAAAAAAAAACTATTAGAAAAGTAAATTTGATGTTTGTAACATATTCGACTGAATTAGTTCCTTTTGATCGTGGTCATTCAATATTTTATATATATGATTGACCACCAAGACAATTCAACACTTGTTTCATTAAAAATATTAATTGGTTTTCTCAAATGAGTATACAAATAACTTTAACTGTAGTTCTCTATTATTCCACTCATATTTATACTGGAACGCTAGATTATTTCAACTAGCATAAGTTAATACTTCAAAATATAATCCATCTATATCAGCACCCCACCCATGACCCCTTTTGAATAAATTCTGCGTACGCCACTGCAACCCCCACCCCACCCACTTTAATAAAATAAATATGAAAAGCTTATTCTTCTTCTTGTTATTTCGTGTAGGATTTTCATCATGTTAAACAAAGATCGCAATTGCTACAAAATTTCCCATGAAACAAATTGATAATGACATTTTGACTGTTGGAAGCGGACTGTTTTTATACGCCCACGTTATAATGTGGTCGTATGTTGTCGTCGCCCCTGTCCGTCCGTCGGTCCGTCCGTCCACAATGGGCTTGTGAACGCAATAGAGACATCATTTTTTCATTTGATTTGAATGAAATTTGGTGTGAATGTTTATAATGATGAGATCTTGGACAAGTTCGAATTTGGCGATCTTTCGATGAACGGTTTTTGAGTTATTTCCCTTGCCTTATGAAAAACGCGTAAAAATTTGGTTGTGAACACAATAAAGACTACCGTTTTCATCAAATTTCAATGAAATTTGGTGTTCATATTTATAATGATGAGATTTTAGACAAATTCAAATTTGGCTATCTGGTTTTTTTTTTTATAAAATTAAATTTGACAATTTTTCGATCAACGGAATTTGAGTTATTGCCCATGACAGTAAAAATGCATAAAAACTTGTTAGCGATAGAGGTGACAATTTATGTAAGAAGTTTATTAAATAATGGTGTGTGTTTGTTTAAATCAACAATATCTTGCACAAATTAGATTTTTGGTGTGATTTGACACAGATAGGTTACTGCCCTTGATATACTGAAATATATCAGGAAAGTGGGCGTATCTTGCTAGGCAACCGCTTGTTGAATTTTAAATTGAAATGAAATGTTAAAAATTTTATTAAAATTGATTTGTCTATACGTGTTGCGTGTAATTTTTAATCATGTTGAAGTAGAATTTTAATCTAAATTTTTTCAACCCACTTTAACAAATTTCATGAAGCAAATGCCCATTGTCCCTTCAACGCAAAAAGAGGCCAAAGGTTATATATTGAAAAAAAAATTGCATATTATTTATGGGTGGTCGATTTGAGATACAATTGGAGAATATCAAATTTTTCCACCGAGCGCTTCTATGTCTGGGCATTTAAGGTTTAAGAGCAGAATAAAGTAATAGTTATGAAATTTGGCATAGGTATCTCGTTTTAACCGCTATCCAAAGTTTAGCGTATCTGAACGACGAACCCCATTTTTTCATTTTACAATCACAAGGAGTTGATGGGCCACAGACACCAGCCTGCCGATCCGTCCATTACACTTAGCTAGACCAACTTTGATCAATATGACTGCCGTTAACATGATCTGAACCAAATATTGACATAGAAGTCATCAAAGTATTCTGATATATGTGGTTCCTAACCACTTGACACAATTCTGAGCCCTCAATTTAGGCCTATCAGAATCTTCACTGTCTGGAAGTGTGTCGTGGTTGTCTGTTCAAACGAGACATCATTTTAGATCTCTTAGGTCCATTTTAGATGTTTTTCGGGGGAGTTTGGGATATATCTTCTATGCTATAGCAGAGATGCAACATTTGGCTCATTGTTAAGAATTTGTGTGGTCAGATGTGAAGTCTTAAGCACATAGTATAGGCACGTTGAAAATTCTCTGTCCCATAGGATCAACCAATGTCGCGTAATGCTTTCGTTAATTTTATAAACCAAATTAACAGGTATATATATAGTAAATTTAAATCATATCCTATGAAAAGACATCAACCTACAACAATGTTAAGATGCTTCCTTAATTTCACGTATGATCTTATTGTATAATAATATAACAGTTACGAAAAGTCGTCAATCACCGTTTTTGTTGGCATGGCAACCAGTTAGCTAATATTTCGCATAGTAAATTTCTATTGATTTTGTACCAATCACTGCCACTGTTTGCCATTGAAGACAATTGTCGTTGTTTTATTTTTAAGAAAAAAATTGCGAAATTTCGAAATAGAAAGGCTAATATCTCATCATTGTTAAGTAATATGTATGACATTTTTTTAAAACTTGAAACGTTGATATACCTACTCATGCAAATTATCATGTCAATCTTGCTAGAAGGTAGAAGAATGATCAAAATGGTAGAATTTGGTTGTCAGAACGACAGTAATAAGAGGGTAAATATGGTTTTATACTTTTGCAAGATTTATTTTTCACGGTAAAAGGTATATGATAGTTTTAATTGATACAAATTTCAAGTTACCAAATATACTCTCCTATTAAAGGGATTGTAAAGAGGTTTTTAAAATCTAATATATGTATAGCATATAGACACAGATAGCATCAATTTGCACCATTCGAATTTTCAATCAGACGTTTGTCGTTCCTGCAATTCGACTTAAACTAGGTGTTTGATGACGTCACTTATCGGAAAAAGTCATTATCACATCAAGCCCTTCACGATAAGAGAATTGAAATGGTACAAATTGATGCTATCAGTGTCCCCGTCACACTTAAAAATTTTAGAAAATCACTCTACAATCCCTTTAACCTTTCGGATACTGCAAGAGCACACTAGTGACAAATGTTCAGTATATTTGAGTTTCGGACTGTATTGTACTTTTTCATCCATGCAAAGAGAATAAATGGACCGTAAAGAGGTCATAGATGAAAGATCCATTGATATTTAAATTAAATGAAATCAAATTGTATTTTCGTCCTAGTTTTCTACTATGAACTATAATAATGAAAAATATATTATTGTTCTGTTGTTTAACGCTTCGGCTAACAACCTTCTCCAGAAATTAGTAGTTTATGATCACATATTTCCCCGTCTTTCCTTTATTTATTTTAAGTAATATATTATTAAAATATTATTGATTCTAAACTTAAAATAAGTAAGGAAAGACGGAAAAAATGTGATCATAAACTATCGAAGTGTTTCTGAAGAAGGCAATTACCTGAAACGTTAATGCTCAGTTCACACCAACGGCGCTTTGATCGCGCTTTAAAGCGGCGTACAAAGCGGTACCAAAGCGTAACAAAGCTCGACTAAAGCGCCAGGGTCGTAATAGATCGCTGGAAAGCTTTGAGCAAACTGGATATTCGGCAAGAGCGCCCAAAAATTTTAAACTGTTTAAAAATTTTGGGCGCTCTGTCACGAATTGATTAAAGCGCCGAGAACGTATCAAAGCTTAACAAAGCGTAACAAAGTTCAGCAAAGCTTGACTCAAAGCGTAGGAAAGCTTAACAGAGCTTTATTCTAAGCGGGGACCCCAGTCTTCACGGTCTGTCACCACTTGATCAAAAGCGGCATGAAATCGGCCATTTCGAAATTTTGCGTAACAGAGCTTAACAATGCACAACAGAGCTTGATAATCGTACCAGGGCGTGATTTAAAGCGTCATAACCGCATCAAAGCTTAATAAAGCTTATCAAAGCGTGATTTAAAGCGTAACAAGGCCTGATCAAATCGGGAAATAATTCGTCCCCAAAGCGTAACCAATTCGTATCAGAGCGTAACATTACTTAGGAGAGCGTGATATTTTTGGAAAAGTAAACAAAAAATGATGGCGCTTTGCTCGCCGCTTTAAAGCGCAGCATTCGCCGTTGGTGTGAACTAGGCATAAACAACAGGTCAATAATATGTTTTTAATTGTTTCCCCTTTTATGAGAATTTGTGATATGATATATAATGAAGTTCTTTTTAATCATACGCCAGTTATCTTGAAGATAACCACAAACTTGCATTTACATTTACAACGCATTTACAACGCAGTTCATGCGAATTATTATACCTGAATACCTGATTATACTTTGAAGCATAAAAAAAATTTTTTTTAGGTATGGATCTGTACTTTTTTATTAAATAAACTGATCTATGACCTCCGAAATCACATTGCCGCTTAGATATTCAATTTTGCTTTGGACAAACAAAATGACGTTTGTCAGTACGAAACTACACATGATTCGTACATGAAATTCCACGTAAGAACCAGATGTAGCAGACTCGATTGTTCGGAGGGGCAAGTAATATATCCAGAGGGGCAATGGTGTATGGTGTTTAGTTTTAGTAATAGAATTAGTCTTGTATGGGGTTGTAATTTTTCACATTACATCAGTGAAATAGATACTATTATGTAATAATAATATATTATGATAATATTTTTTACATTTAGGTCGATGTTAGAAGTACGAATTTCCATTTTAACATCCAAGCCTCAAAATTACAACACTTCTTTTAAGCCTATGCCAGTGCCTTCTGTTGTATTATTCAGAATAGTAACTTGTTACCATTCAACCACTCTAATCTCTTCCTCTAAATCTTTAATATTTTTTCAAAACAAACCCTGTAAGTGGTACATACTGCTACATGTCTAACCTGCAAATTGTTGATACGATATATTAAACAGAGATTCGGACTAAGGTCATTGGATGCTTGGTAGAAAACAAAACGAAAGTCAGTCAACCATTAAAATTGTACAGTATATCTTCCGGGGATTGTCTCTTTTATTCGACCCTATTATGTGAACAGATAAGACACTGGAGTGTCCATTTGAACTCTGTTAACGTGAAGAATGTGTACATGTATAAACTACATTTCATTATCTAGACCTAGTTGATAAGAAATAATACCATTGGGATAGCGAAAGCTACAGCTTGTATTGTCCTCATAGTGAATAGATGGACAGAAACTGAATAAGAAGTTAAACGAAAGTTGACCTAGGATGTATATGGTTGACTTTATTACGTGTTGTATTTGTTAATGTGGCGCGTTGAATAGTATTTAAGTTTATTGGAGCGTTTTTGAAATATTGGTTGAGTAGAGTGAAAACTGTTAGATTTTTAGTATTTGATCGACACAGCCTATTATAGACGGATAAGAATAAGGAAAACGTCAGGCAACAGACTCAGAGATAAATATCATAACACGTGCTTTACTATATTGTCTCTTTCGAATCGATGTAACACGGAATAATCGTCTGCTTTAGTAAACCGTCTGCCACAAGTTGTCCGTCTGGCACACTTCTCACATTTCCAACCGATTTGAGAAGAACACGGCGTTCTAATTTATACTGTACAGTGTATAGGTGGCTGAATTCTTCTTGACTTGATGCGAAAGCGAGGCTGTGTACGGAATCGTCTATTGGATTTCTATTTACCTATTATCAGATCATAAATATATGTGTGTTTCTATTTCCTCACTGACCATGTGTTTTAGGTTTACTGATGTCGTCGATTGTGATTAGAAAATGAAAATTCAGGATATATCGTGTCGTCAGTATGGTGTAAATAGTTGTTTGTTTTGGATAATATCACGTTGTGATCTGTGTCGGTCGGAATCGCTTTTGTGGGGGGAAAAACGGAACCATGAACAAACGTAGCAAAAATAATCCCCCTGTTTCAGGAGAGGTAGTCATTCTCGCCTTGTGCATAGTCTTAGTCATGATTACCTTATCTCAGATATTGGTAGTTCATCACAAATTTAACGGTAGATTTCACGGTAGTCGAAATCCCCGTTCCAGGAACATTCGAAACCGTCAGGAATTACGACAGCTCGAAAAAAGTATCGCTACATTAATGCGTCAAAATGTACCAAGCATAGAACAACACAGTGAAATGCTGCGTAGTGAAATTTACGCCAGTCGGACCTCGGATCTCATTCTCAGGGCCATGCAGGAAGCTCGGAAACCAGCGGAAACGACTTCTTCTGTGGATAAAAATGACAACATGTCTGAGTTGTATAATTATGATCAAGACAGTGATGGGAATCTTGTAAATATAACTATAGATGTACCAAACATTCATTTTCGTAGTAATAGTAGTGGATCAGTAACGAGAAAATATCAAACGCTATTCCCCTTTTTAAAAAACAAAACTATCCATATGGATGTTAAAAAGCCACAAAAGAGAGTGAAAATCAAACGATTTTGTCCTTTAGAGCCTCGTGGATTGCGTAAGTATTAATTGTCTTATACAGCTCTTATATATAAGTACAATAGTCGACATATTAGAACAATTCAAGATGCCTGAAGCTATATATATCGTATATGTCAAGTTATACATCCTTTACATGTTAGACTTACTATCTTTTAACACACCTGCAGTAATTTTTAAAACAAAGTTAGGCGATGCTGAATATTCAATAGCAATGAAGTTTGCATACTCTTAAATATGTCTGATATTATCTTAGAAATATTTATAAATATAATAATAAGGTCAAAGTTCACGTTATGTAATGTGTATACTACCAGTTATTTCTGTTAAGTGTTCTTAAAGGGATTATTAAAATTTCATTGATTGTTAATACAGCAAAACATAACAAAGTTATACTAATTTCAACAAAAGATGGCCAGCAGATCTTAGGAACTCTACTACAGGCTTCTTTGTCTGACTAGGCGTTGATTGATGGCATTGAATTTTCGATTTTTTTCGAATTATCATTGAATTCACCAAGCTGTGGATATTATTCAGTTGTGCACACTTCAATCACAGACAACAAAGCAGCTCAAATGAGAATTAGCCCTAGCTGGAATTAGCCCAAACGTGAATTAGCCCAAACGTGAATTAGCTACGTGAATTAGCCCAAACGTGAATTAGCCCAAACGGGAGACACCAAGTGATGACGTCACTAATCGGGAAGGGCCAAATGTGATGAAGCATATTATTTCGCGATTAGTGACGACATCAAACACTTATGAAAATGAAAATTGACTATTTAGAAAACCTCCTTACAATCCTTATAACCTATTTAGTAGATTTGGTTTCATATATTTCTGTCTTGCCTGCTTCAGAAAAGCGGTTTAGTACTTTTGATAGGGAATAGAACTTTTTGGTACCGTATATAATAATAAATTTTACGTATGTAAACAAGTAGAATGACTAAGTTCTTTGAAGAAATCTAATGATCGAGCCTCCTTGTTATTATTACAACATGCTTTGTGGTATTTATGAGGCCTAAAACGAAAACGAGCTAAGCTGCTTACTTAACAAAAAGTACACACCTTTTTAACTCTTTTGAAATAAATTCAGTTTGATCAAGTAGATACATTGATATAAATAGCACAAGTATTTTTTAGTATAACTTAAGACGATTGTGGTCATAAAAAATTGCATACTGTCCTTAATTGTATGAAGCGTTCTGAAGTGTTCTCTACATAATGATACAGAAATTTCTTTTATTGAAGATAAACATATTATATTTTATGACGAGTTTATCAGTTGTCGAAACATTGACATACAATAGTCACACCTCAACGCCATTTTAGGGACTACCAACAAACAGGATTTCCAGAACTTTAAAGGGACAGATGCGGTATTTGCGGAAGTAAATCATACCTTGGTCTCAGAAACGTGAATAAATCAGTTATATTGTTCACAGCTTACCGTCGATATTTGAGCCTTCAAATCCATGTGTGTCCAGAATTATCAATGTTTGAAAGTTATTTAAAGATGGGTTTCCTTATTTTTAAGTGTCAAATTAAGCAATCTGTTTGATAAATTGCTGTTTCTAATGAATTATCATGTATTTTTAATGATATCATTATGTTCTTATTACATATAATTAGGAGTTTTAACCAATCATAAATGTTCATGTATGTAAAGTCTGAATAAACAAAGAAAATACTTTTTGACCTTTCTTGATCGGTCACTCATTGAAATTTTGTTCATTATGAATTAATTATGGACATGTGAGACAAACTGTTTTTTTTTCCAAGTCATTAGAACACCTCTGCTTTAAATTCATATAGTATTAGCATTTTCAGAAGTTTTTGTTTTTCAATATCCGTTAATGACGTCATATGCATACAGTAGACCCAATCATTCTGTCCAACTTCATCTTTGCACATTAAAATTTATTTTTTGAGGTCTATTTGAATTATGCTATTTCCGTACAGTTTTTGTAGTTCTGAATAATATTAACGTACATTCAAGGTTCAAATCAACCCCTAGAAATGCTGCATCTGTCCCTTTGATGTGCCAGTTTTGGTTAAAACACGCTTTTCATACTCCAACATACCGCCGCCCATTTTGAGCATTCTGTCCACATTCATTGCATTTGTACACATGATAGAGACTACGGTTTTTTATACGCCCATATCTCTCTATGTGGACGTATATTGTCGGCACTCCTGTCCGTCCGTCCGCCCGCCCGTCAACATTTGCTTGTAAACGCTCTAAAAACTAGATTTTTTGATGGAATCAAATGAAATTCGGTATGTGTATACATATTCATAAAACGAATATCAAGTTCGAATTTGAGCTATTTTCGACCGTTAGAAGCAGAGTTATTGCCCTTGCCTCAAAGTATTGAATATTTACCATCCGCATGCCGTGGTGGGCGTATATGGCTGTGGTCCACTATCTTTTTTTTTATCTAATCTTGATGAAACTTTCTATGGGAGTATAATTATTATGTATGCACATATTTATTAGATCGTGGTAAAGTTGATGTTATTATCAAGCTAGAGGAACATGGGTTAAGTTTGGCAATTATTGGACTAAATGTTTTTGATTATTGTCCTTGTTTTGGAAAATTGGCCTTCCAGACATGAAAGATCTATATGATATTTTTGGTCCGATCAGAATGTAAATGAAACTTGTCTATCTCGGTCAAGTGTGAAGTTGGAAATTATTGGATGACAGGTTTTAGATTTATTTCCCTGGAATACTTTTTTTTAATATTATTTTTATCAGATCTTGACGAAACGCAGTATTCATTATATATTGAAAAGATCTCTTGGCAATGATTAGGTAAAAAGGTTTTTTTTTTCATGTATAATAACATATACAGCTGTACCATACATCATTATTATTAAACTATATAACTGTACCATACATCATATTAAACTATTGAAATAAAGTCTAGAACAGCATACAATAATACGGAGCCCCAATTGTAAACATATTTATTTATTATTTCGTTATTTCGTTAAATTAATAAATAAATATGTTTACAATTGCGCCTTAGGGGCTCCGTACAATGATGATATTTTTGTTCATTTATATTTGACTACATAATATACTTAATTGTGTTTGTAATAATACTACATAGACGTCATAACATGATAACAGTCAACTATAAACGCTGGAGAAATGAAAACAAAACAATACACTGTTTGATATACATGTTAAAATTTTGTATATAAATAGATTGGTATATATAACAAAATTATTTATTAAAAATGTTACTTATTTGTACTTATTTTTCTCATATTTTGTTGTATACAGGTTATGATAATCTATAACTGTACTCCCCCTCATAACAGCTAAAGTATGTCTTGTTGGTGTTAGTTCTATCAATAACACTATCCGTAGGTCATGAATTTCTCATTTTAAAGGAATAGGACATTAAACTTAAAAAACTTGGTAAATAAGAGTATAAAGGCATCCGTTGGACTAGCCAGGTGCCATAATAAAAGAAATATATTACAAGTTTTATAGATTTATTGGATTATAGAGGGATTCTTAACTTCACGTGACGATAATAAATTTAACACTTGCAAAATGGGACAATGATAGTCAAGGTGATTCAAACGATCATAATGAGGGTCATTAACCGAGCAGTGATGTCCATATGGACTCTTGTATGCTCCGTTATGCGAACATCAACAATTTTTACGGAATAAAGTCTTGAAAGGAAGCCAAGAGAGTCCAAATTAAGTACAGAAGATATTTCATGAACTGACTCACAAAGCAAAGCTATGTGAAAACTTACCGTACATCTATCCATACACATCAAAGAACGGAATCGAGATCTACTATCCTTATATGGATGGCGTTTAGCATTTTCTTTTAGAGTAAAGTATTATAGAAAAAACTTTTTTTTTTTAAATTAAAACCTCTTAATCAATGTAACAGCTTTTATTTACAGTAGTCTATGTATGTATATATCATTATATTTACTCTGAACATAATCATTTATAACTTGAAGTAAGTTTAATTACATCAACATCTGTTATTGAAATGGTGTCCACGTGGAAATGTAGACGCATATTGCCTTCAACATTACACAGTTTTTTTGATGAAACTTTGTATGCATGTCTATATTGTTGAGATACCTTTCAAGTCCAAATATGTTAATTTTTTTCAAATTTGATGAATTTGTTTAAACATCAAATTACCAGTGTAATTGCTTAGTGTTCTTAAACAAACAAGGTACCTAACAGCTGAAACTAGCTTGGTTAATTTCAGGCGTAGATAGCCACGTCCAGACAGCCTTACTATCTTCATCAATATGCCTGCTATGGTGCTAAAGGCACACTTGCAATTTACATTGGCAAATTTCCCTCTATTTCCCAATTCCCTTTTCCAAATTTCTTCAAGGGGTGCACATGGACCACGGTTGAGAAGCACTACGTAAACTCGACAGTTTGTATACGACCCTGATGAAACTTAGTATGTGCATGTATATTTATGTGATATTTGTCAAGTTCGCAATCGGTAATTATTACATGAACATTGCCGACTTAGTAATGACTTGTCCAATGTTACTTTGCATGAAACTTGGAAATGGTGGCGGCGTCAGCCTCTCGAGACTCGGGGTACAATTTGAGGGGCAGACTGACTCAATGGAGGGACTACTGTCGAGGCTGAATTTTATCTGCGGCAATTCTGTGTAGGAGTTATTGCAAAAACCTCCTATGAAGCGCCTGAGAGGGTTGTAGCCAAATGACACACCCTTTTTAGCAGGCCCCTTATCTGTAGTAGAATTGCATAATTGCGTTCATTATGTCGTAATATGCATAACCATGTTGATATCTAGTTTGAAATTGTCAAAGATTATTTCAATATTTTTTTTATTAAAGTAAATATCCTGAACTTTATAAAATTCTTTCAAATGTCATATTTCAGAGTAGTGTGATTAGAGGCAAATTAGATGTATTTGGGTAATTGCCATCGATATATATCAGAGCATTTCATACACAAAAATACGCCTCAAAACTTAAGAGTCAGTTTTCACAATAATTCAAAATATGATATAGTCTGGCTTTATCATGTCAAAATTGGGAAGAATTAGGCTAAAAGTCCAAGAACAATTTCTCTTCGTTTTTTTTTTTTAACTTTACCTCAAGGGGACATTTTCTGAATGACATTACATGTTCATTATACAAATTTATATTTACGAATAAAGGGAAATTTGTAAATCTGTAAAATAAATTGTCTATTCGGACTCGGCTCTATATCAGTCCATTGTTCAACATTTTCAAAGGTGGAATATCAAAAGTAACAAAACTTTACGCACATTGCACGATTCCACTTATTATTGTTTTTTTTTTCATTTATAACTCTTGCAGAAATATGGAGCACCCGAAAATTGATCGTTTCTTTTCTTTTTTCTTAATCTTGTAATTGATCGTATTGTTGATAAAATCTACAATAGGAAATTCGATATACTGATACTTTATGATTATCCAGTATGTAACCGTTTTACATTATGGCGGAGTCTTAAAAATGGCGAGTTATCAATAAAATTTCAAATACGGATAATTATGATGGGTACATGAGCTGTGAGTGTTACTAATCTTTTAATCCTCCACATATTCTGTGTGTTTTAAGTTACTGTTATTGTTGTGGAATGCGGCTACTTTAAGACTTCGGATAAGACAAAAAAATGAGACTCGGTCTGCTATTTTCGATGCACTCTTCACGGTCTGTCTTTGAATTATCCTATCATTCGGTCATATAGATATTATTTGATATTATTTAAATTATTCACTCAATTATTAATAAGACCGCAGGACATGACCGGACTTAAATTATCATTAACATTTAGATTGTTATGGATTCCACCAGCTGTTGTTAATTACCATGTGACCCATTTGT